CCGGCGTCCCCGCGGCGCTGCCGCTCGCCCGAGCGCGTCCCTGCGCGCAGCCGGCCGCCATGTTGTACATAGCAACAGTTGCTAGTCACGGGCTGGCCGCGCTGCCCCCGGCTCCGGCTGTGGTGTGAGGGGCCTTTGGTGTCGGTTTGAAGGTAAATTCGTGACTCCGGGGGATGAAAGCCGTTTTGTCGGTGGCCGCGGAGCCGGGCACGGTGCTGCGGGGAGCTGCCCGGAGGAGCGGGGCGGAGCGGAGCGCGTTTGGCTGCGGCGGTGTCCTGGTTACCGCGTTGCCTGAGGGCGACTCTGGGCCCGCGAGGGAACTCTGCCTCTAACATTCATCGAAATACTGAAACGGGAGAAAACGTGCAGTTTTGTGATGAGTACCCCTCCTGATTTTTACTCATTATTTCCTGTATTTATCTGTCTCTCCATACATGTTGTTTCTTTTCCTGTTAAATTCTTGGGGTAGAATTCTATCTTAATGCAATACCTAATTATTACCTGTTACTATTTAAGTGATACTATATTCTAAACATTTTTGTGTAACTACAAATTAATATGTGTAATTACGACATTAGAACACAGTTATTTCAACTAGGTTTGTATCTATACATAGATATTACCACATACCAGCTAGCTGCCCTTATCATACATGTGAAAATAACTGATCACTTTAAGCACTATATAACATGAGGTAAAAAAAAAAAAAATGCACCATAGAGCTTGGAATCAAAATAGAAGAAGATGCAGATAAGCAGATCAAAGGTACAGGGAGACAGGAAGTGTCCAGTTTGAACACCTTACTTCATCCATTACAGGCTTACTGGAAAAGATTCAGATTAGTATAGTAATAAAATCAGAGGCCCAGAAAATGCAGATACTGAGGAAAGACAAACAGCTGGATTTATTTTGGCTACAGAGAACGCAAAGGTTATCGTTCCATTAGATACAGAAAGTTGGTTAACATCTTCCATCTACAAAAGTAGAGGGTCCTGCACCATGTTCTCCTTCATGCCCACCACAATTGCTTAAAATGGGTAGTACGATATTGTGTTGAAAGAGAAATAGAGAATCTGGTAGGCAAAATTTGGCAATTTTTCTTTAAGCAGTCTTTCTGACTTGTTCTGACTTGCAGAAGCAGTAGAGTTGTACATATTCTTTTTCCAAAATATATCTCGTATATAACCATACTTCTGTCAGTAAACCTCCATCAAGAATCGTTTGTGTGATCAGGTCTTCAACTTTGAAATTTTTCTTTTGTGGCAATAAGTTTGCTTGCATAATAGAGTAGTACTTCAGAGCATGAGCAGGGTTACTCCTTATATTAGCATTGCTTCAAAATACAACTGAGTGCTACAGAATCACTACATATTTTCTTTTTAATATTTAGTTATGGGTGATGAGTCAGTACCATTTTTGCTGGACCAAGGAACTACTAAAACATACCAAATACCTATTGGTCATCTAGACTACAAGTTCATTGAAAAATGCACAGATGTTAAACACCTGGAAAAGATTCTCAGGGTATTAAGGTAAACATATTTTCCTACTTTCTTTACTAACTATATTCCTGTTCTGTAAAATTAGAAGGAACCTGTACCTAAATACTATATTTGTCTTGAACCTCTTTGTGACTTTCTAATTTAAAAATTAAAAGGTGAAGTTAAACTAGTCATGTTAAAAGTATCCAAATGGTAACGCTAGAAATGCAGGTCCTGTTTTAACTGTCCGAAAGGTCTGAGTAACTCATTGTCAGGTTCTTCTCAAATGGCTGCTGCTGGATTTTGGTTCTGTTGTGAAGCCATCTTGCCTGTTTGTGGTAATTTTGGATGCCATGCATGTTTTAACTTTTGCTGGAAATTACACGAGCATTTTTTTATGAGTACTGTGATTATAATTTGAACTGTGTATGAGTATCCATTGGAAAATGGTTGAAGATTAACTCACTGGAATTTTCTGAATAAAATGTTATTAGGTGATAGTAGAAATCAGTTGTAACAGGAAAAATAGTCCTCTGCAGTCATTGTAGTGACTACTCAGAGAGGCTACACATGGAGAGAAATACGAAGGAAACAGTGCAGTTCTTTTTTGTCACTTTCATGTCGTTGCATTTTAAAGGTCTGGTGAAGAAGGATGTTATCCTGAACTTACATTGTTTTGTGAAAAGCGAATAGAGCATTTAGATCCAAGGAGCAGAGCTCTGAGAAAAGATAAGCCTGCAGCCACAGCTTCTGATTTCACAGCTGAAGAATGGGAAACAATTAATAGCGAGCTGATGGTACAGTATAACTCTTAATTTATAATGATCAGTAATATAATCACTTTGATGTATCAGTCTTCCTCTTCTTGTGCCTAAATAGAATGTAATTATTTAATTGAGGAAATGATAGAAGGATTATGTTGAGGGGCTTAAAATTATTTTCTTGAATTAATGTCGCTGAATCTTTAATGCCCAGTTTAACTCTTTGTTGATTACTTTTTACTTAAAAAGCACAACTTTTTTATTAATTGCTTTTCCCCATGAAGAGTGGTGCATTATAAGTATAGTTGTTAGGGTCATTGTAGACTATGAAGTATATGTACTCTACTGCAAGGTACAGATATTTATTGATTTTCAGAGCTGGGTGACAGAAATGAATGAAGATGATGAGAAACCACAGTTACTGAGAGCAGACACGTTGCATGAAAGACAGGATAACTTGCCCCCTGTTCGTTGTTCCAGCACCTGTCTTCCTGCTAATCAGGTATCTCTAGTTTTCTAATGTATGTTAATTATATATCTCTATAAAAATGGGAATTTTTATATGTACAAACTTTTAGTCATTGAGCCTTTATTACTATATTTATTTTATTAACCAGAAAATAAAAACCTTTAAGTTCCCTTGCAAGAGATCAATGCTTAAACAAAAGTACCTCCTTAGTACTAGCATGTGCTTTGTAATATTTTAATTCTGATCAAGAATTCACTTCTGAAGTAAATCTCCATAAACACCCTTTTATATTCTTTGTTTCACATTTCAAAGTGGTATTTCAGCATATGAACTAGGTTTCTTTTGGATAAAATTATGCCAGGAGATTTTCTCCAGCTGCTAGCAGGCTTTTGTTCCATGAGACCAGACAGGAGCTAGTACAAAATAAATACCCTGAAACACATACAGTGTGGATGTTGGACCATCTCCACCAGCTGTTTCACTCTATAGACACTTCTGTATTGGGTTGCACTGATGTATGTGTAGCTTTTGATTCCCCTTATCTCATATCTTCATTTGGTATTCCAGCTTCAGCCATAAAGCATACTTAACAAATCTTCAGAACTACAAAATAAACATTAACATTTTTCCCTAGGTATTAGTTTCCTCATGGTTTGGTGGCAGGTTTTTTTTTTTTCATTTATCTGCCTGAAACCTGTTTTGTCTGTGACCAGCTTTTCTTGCTAATACTAAATGCAGTGCTATTGGAGGGTCTGGCAGAAAAGTAGGTGTGGGACAGGATTTTTTTGAATTGTCCGATGTTATCTTGGATGGTTTCAGTCTGATTCCCACTATTTTCTTTAGAATTCTGGAACACTTACAACAAATTCACTGAAGGATTTTTCTTTTGAAAGTTTCAATTTGAGAAATGTTATGAAAGGATACGTCATGTGATATTTCTTACTAATTGTTAATTATTCCAATAAAATTTGTCAAATTATGTATTAGTAAATGCCTGATTTGTGTTCCTGTGTTATCAGAAACTACCGTTTACTGTCTATTGGTACTTAGACATCAGACCAAGACATGTGGGATAACTAGGCACTCACCATTATGTGGTATACAAAGAGCCTGGGAATTCCAATGTAATGCTTTATAAGTGGTCAGTATTGAGACTAAGGTGTGCTTTTGTTTTGGTTTGTTTTGTGTTGTGTTTTTTTTTATTAATCTGTCCTCTTTCACATTTTGCCATGTATGTTCCTCTTGACTACCCTATTTTGCCAAGATGAAGAGTGCCACTGTAACTTTACTCATTTATGTCCTGTATAAGTGTTTCCTGGAACAGAAAATGGTAAATAAAATATCATGTGAACTCAGTGAATCCAGATTAGAATGTAAGCATAAAATGGTGGAAAATAGCTTGAAATCTAGGATACACAGTTTTACTGAAGAGGATGTGTTCTCCATTGAAAGACAAAATATTTATTCACCTTTTTTTCCCCTACTTTAAACCATGCAAAAGTCTTCAGGTCAAGTTTTTATCACTTTTGTTCTTCATACAAAGTTTAGGTGTTAGCACTGTTACCCAGGAAACCTAGATACAGCCTTATTTGTGGTATATGATTTCCATTCCTTTTATTTAAGCAGATAGCCTCTGAAGTAATTATAACCTGTCCTGGAAGAGAGAAGGGAGGCCTGAAATTGAGTTTTAGCATTCATTTTTATTATGTAGCAGTGCAGTTATATCACTACTAGATCACCACTGAATAAAAAAGAAGCCGTTTCTATAGTATACACTAAATTTATACCTGTAATACAAAATATTTTCTTAAAAATTATTAATATAATTAATCAGGTTTTATTTCTTTTCTTTCTTGCTGATAAATCTTACTATTTTTAAACTTTTTTTACTAGTAAGTTAGGACTGTAATTATTTTTTACACTGGCATCACATAATTTTGTCATGTGGTATCAAGTATAAAGCTGCCACAATAAATTTCTCTGATAGAAAGAAATCCACAAGCCCTTCCATAATTTTATGTTGTTATTTGATTAGAGTCTGTTCATCTGATCTGATGCATGA